ACGTGTAAATCACTTACACGCTAAGTCAAAGACTTAGTGAGGCATATAAACATATAAGGTAAACAGTAACTAATAATCATACCTAAACAATTACTACTATCATTTCATACCACTCATACTTTTACATGTAACAAATATATGCATACATATATGTCATTATCGTTCATATCTCTTATCTCATGTTCTTATGATCTCTTATATCCATATCATATAACATATATCATAACCAATTGCACATATACATATCATGTCATGTAAACCATATATATATACTATCATAAAACACGTAAACCCAAGCAACTATATTATCATCTTCATTTCTTTCTTATTTTATCACTATCATTGATTCCTTTCATCATATGGTCTTATAAGTTACCATTTGTACAATCAATATCCCACATGAAATTCCACAAGGAAACAAACATATTATCATATCACTTTATTAATGTTATCTATTTAATAGCCCATGATACACATGTGAGAACTGAAGATATGCGAATACATAGAGGTTGTGCATTAATGCTGTCACCACAGCTCATATACTTGCACCGAAGTGCCACATATAATTGCACCGGAGTGCCGCGTAGAATTGCACCGTAGTGCCATATAATACTGTCCATAAGGACCACATATCATTCCTTAAGAATCATATACATATACTAGGGATCAAGTATGTGTCTCACCAGACTTCACACATGTTCCAAAGAATACATATATGTCCCGAAGGACCACATATCATTCCTTAAGAATCATATACATATGCCAAGGATCAAGTATGTGTCTCACCAGACTTCACACATGTTCCAAAGAATACATATATGTCCCGAAGGACCACATAGACCCTCGACTCTTGGCATGCCAACTATACCCCTAGCTCTCATGACACATAACATGGGCATTATCTTTTATATCCTTTTACATATTCATGTAACCATATCATATATTCATATAAGCTCATGGTTTCATTCACATATACATGTAATCACGTAGTTCATGTCAATTCTCATATGAGTTCATATTCATATAAACATAGGATTCACCCTCATGTATCACATATACTTTCTCTTTCATATGGCTCATAACATTTCTCATGTGTTCATATGACATGTAAATCATTGTCATCTTATCATGCAATCACATAAATATATCATCTTACAATACATACAAAAACACATCAATACCTATATTCACATATACCTATCATTTCATTATCCTTATTATTATTCTTATCATCACCATTAATCCCTTTTACTTACCATATTCATATTAATAACACATATACTCATGCACACATATAAATCATAACAAATACATACTTCTATGAATTCATGTTTTTCACTATTGGAAATAGACTTATCACAAGTCTTATTTTCCCTTGAACCTCATATACTAGAGAATGTGCACTCACCTTAGCCTTGTTTGCTTTGAATCAATCTTAATCCTTAGATTGTTCCGGAACAAGCTTCATTCTATATCTACATCATAATAATACATTGATACATATCAGTATACTAATTGATATCTTATAAATTGCCACTTCTTAGGCTAAAAGAAAAGCCCATTTCATCTTTTAATGAAGGTATGCATCGATGCACTACACAGTGTATCGATGCATTCCCTATCGGTGCATCGATGCACTACATGTGCATCGGTGCATAAAATACATTCGATGTTTGTTTATTACTGGGATGCATCGATGCACTACTTATGCATCGATGCACGAATTGCATTCGATGTATTTATTTTAAAAGAGTGCATCGATGCACTTCCTGTGCATCGATACACCTTCAAACAATTTCTGGGTTTTAACCTTGATGCATCGATGCACTATGAATATGCATCGATGCACTCTACCCAGAACCTCTTTTTGAACCCGAAAATTCACTCTTTTTGGATTAAATTCTTCATATTTCAACCCCTTTCATATTTCTAACTTTCATATACATACTTAAACTCATTAATATTCATTTATCTCATCTTTAACCTCAAAATTCCACCTTTCATATGGAAATCAATAATCATACCCAATTTTCCATGTTATCCAAACTTAATTCTAACACTTAGAACTTCTTATTCTTATAGATGACAAGTTAAATTCATCTTCCAAATTCATTTAAACCTTCTTATTCAAAATTTCACTTAAAACCCCATTTTCTTTAATCTCCTCTAACCTCTTCATCTTTGAGTTTTCACTTATCCTTAGACTTCTTTAAGCTTTCTTACTTTCCAAAGAATCAAAACCAACTTAGAATTCAAATAATAATCAACTAATAAAAATTCTCACCTTTGCTCTTGGCTTCCATGCGTGAAGAAGAAAGGAGAAGAAGAAAACTCTGGAAACTCATTTCCCTCATTTCCCACGTATAAAATATATATCCCCACTATCACATTTTTTTAATTCCTTAAATGATCAAATGACCATTTTACCCTTTAGTTCCTTTAATAATTACTAACAACTTTTAGGAAATACTTCCAAATAAATCACTAAACTAATCCATTCTTCTACTTTAGTCACCAAATTCTGAAACTTTATAATTTGGTCACTAACCTATAGTTTGGGATGTTACAGTACTACCAACCAAACCGACAATTAATAAAGCACCATCACCCACAACTAGCTTACCTGTTCTACTGCATCCAGTTTTGCGAGTTACAATATCTGAGTCCGGCGTAACATGATGAGTGGCTCCAGAATCAATGACCCACTGTTCTTGTTCAGCCATTGATGCATCGACACTTGATGAAGCATGTGGTCAAGACCCCTTCGAAGAACACATATATGCACACTTATCATAGGCAGTAGTGCGAGCCTGAGCAGGTTCTTCATCATACCTCGACTGATTGTTACTAACAATCTGAAATGATTCATCATAACGATGCTAACACCGATCAACTAAGTGCCCAATTTTACCACAGAGTTGGCACTAAACACGTGGTCTACCTCGTCCTCGACCTGCTCGACCACCAGACCTGCCACATGACCGAGCAACAGTTGTATGATCTCTATCATAGCTTGAATAAGGTTGTTTAGAGTAATCACCAATCCCACGAGCAACATAAGCTGTTTTCATCACTGTTTCTTCTTGAGCTGCAAAACCAACAATTTGCGTCTATGCATCTATTAGCATGGTACAGACCTTGTCTAAGGGTAACATTTCACAACTCGACGTAATAACAACCATAAACGGCTGGTATTCACGCGGTAGCCCTTTCAAGATGCTGGCAATATACCCCACTAGATGAATCAGGCTTCCACATGAAGCCAAAGTGTCGCAAATTTCTTTAACTTTAGCAAGATAGACCCGCATGATGTCTTCTCCTTTCTTGAGGGACTGAAGCTTACAATGTAAACTCATCACTGAGGTTGAGGACCTAGTTGCAAAGTATTGCAACACCGTTGCCTAAATCGATGCAGCTGTCTCAGCTCCCACAAACTGAGATAGAAGATGTGGACTAATGGTAGATAATAACCAAGATACTAATACGTTGTCTTGGGCTACAAAATCATCATAAGCATCATTGGGAACCAGACTGCCATCCTCATCAACAGTCATCTCCGGTGGAGACTGCATAGCACCAGTAAGAAGACGCTCAAGGCTATGGCTGCGAACAGTAAGTAAAACTTGTTGTTTCCATAACAAGAAATTCGTTTCATCAAACACCACATCGATTTTCTTGTTAGTGAACATTGTATCACAACATTCAGTATAAAAAGAACAAGAACCACATAAAGATTTCTTACTCGACCAAGAACACCATATCGAACTATCGACCAACCACCTTCCACGCTTGACCAGCACTCTCTGAGCTACGCAGCAAGAACACACGACTCCAGGAACTTATGGCCTCTGATACCATGTGAGAATGCAGTTATAGCAGCAAACTATTGACTCATAATGCATATCATTTATTGATCTATAACACTCCTTATATACAAGTGTTTTCAGCATTTACAGCAGCTCTTATAACTTCTCAACAGCTAACCAACTAACAACCGTTCCTAACAGCTTCCTTAACTATACAACTAACCGTCCACACAACTATCATTCAACAATGACTAATATAGAGAGGGTGAGAAGACATATTTCAGAGAAAGTCGATGCCATTCATGCGGAGCATGAATGGAAAACGCGTCACACATTTTCCGAGAGTGTAATCCGGGATAAGAACGGGAGATGGATTCAAGGATTTACAAAAGCCAATTGGAGCTGCTTGATAATAGATGCGAAGCTTATTCGATGGTCTAAGACTGGCATGGAACTCGAACCTACACCATATCTGCGTTGAAAAGGACTGCAAACAAGTCTTTCGTCTGCTAAAACAAGGATATAACAAGAAGCGTGAACTCCCAATGACACCACATATCTTGGACCTGATTGGAAGAGACTGGAACCTGCAATTCTCCCACGTACACCGTGAGGGAATAAAATAGCAGACGCAATGGCAAAACTAGAAGAGATTGAAAGGCTAGTACAAGAGGATAGCAGGAACAACAATAGGCTATTAGAAGTTTGGAATTAAGTTTTCCTTTTAGTTATTCTCCCATTACATTAAAAAAATATAGATAAATGATTAATTTATAACATTTTATAGTCGATTGATCCAACTATATAATTTATTTATTTTTTCATATAATTTTAAAATGTATCTTATATAAATTTATTATTCTTTGAATATAATTGATTAAATTATCTTGTGACATTGATTTTTAGACCAAAAGGTAATAAAAAATTATGCTTGTCCTTTTAGTGACAATAGTTATTAGTATTATTTATTTCGATGTATTGATGATATTTTAAAATTATAATATTTTATTATCATATTAAATTAAGGAGTTAAATATCAAATTCTAACATAATAAGAGGATCGAAAACAAAGTTAGACCTTCAAATACCACATTTTTAAAAATATTTAGGGATTATATGCCATTTACTTCTTCCCTTATTGCCTTTAATGAGTACTGAAAACACTCTCGTTTTGCTTATATTTATTTTCTTGTTCCCATTTCACTTGAAACAGAAATAAAGGGTTCAATCAGATAAAGATATAATAGAAAAAAGAAGGATGTCTCGTAGCTGTTCTCAGAGTGGAAACGACGGCCACAACTCGGGAACTTGCGGAAAGGTCGCCGGCGGCGGAAACAGCATCATGTTATTCGGTATTCGACTGACAGAAAGGTCGTTCAGAAAAACTGTCAGTATGAACAATCTTCGCCAGTTTGACGACGAGGAGCAGCAGCCCCCGGATTATTCCAACGCCGTCGATGCTGCCGGTTATGCTTCCGACGACGTAGTTCACGCATCTGGAAGAAGCCGCCAACGCAAGAGAGGTATAGTTTTATTACAAGACAAATCTTTTGACTGATTTTGTTTTTCACTGTTAAATTTTAATTATATATATATTGGTGTTCCATGGACGGAGGAGGAGCATAGATTGTTCTTAGTGGGGTTGAAGAAAGTAGGTAAAGGAGATTGGAGAGGGATTTCGCGACACTTCGTGAAGACACGTACGCCTACACAGGTGGCTAGTCATGCTCAGAAGTATTTCCTCCGGCAAAATAATCAGAATCGGAGACGTCGTAGATCCAGTTTCTTTGATATAACAACTCATTCAGTACGTATAATTATACAATTTTTTCTCTCTTTGATATAATTATTACTATCTCTACTTACATTCTTTTTTGGTGCTGGAATTTGCAGTTCATGAACGCGGCCATATCGGAAGATGATGAAGTAATCGGCCAAGAAAATGTTTCGTTGCCACCGCTGCCAGTGAGTCAAACGCTGAAACCGGTTGATCTTAATTTATACCGCAAAACCCAAGATGACCCTTTACCAGCTCTAACGCTGAAACTCTCAACGCCGTCGACGGAGGAAGCAGCGGCTGGAGTTCATTCGTCTACTTTTCAGGCTATGTCGAGTGGTGATAGCAATGGCGGCATCATCAGAAAAAGGTAACAGAATATAGGCTAAATTATATATTTAGCCATCCAATTATGTTTTGGTAATCCGTAATTAAAAAATCAATGATGTTAGCGATGTGTTATCGTAAGATAATATCATATCATAATTAAAAAAAAAATCAGTCTCAACAGTTTTGTTTGTTTTTTAACACGGATGATTAAAATAGAATCAAAATGTAAAATTGAATATAATTTTAAAAAAACTAATTGCATAATAAAAACAGAATCATTAGAATAGATAAATGATTAAATATGTAATTTATCCAAGAATATACTATAGTATACAATTAAATTATTTAAAACTGTACAAACTATGAAGGATGGTAGAAGATTTGATGTATGGTTGCATAATTAATTATAGATTAAGAATATAATTAGAGATTATATGGTGAAATTAGGTCGTATTGTATGGTATTTGTGCAGGTGTTTAATTAGAGGAGATGGTGGGTCTGTAATCTAAAGCAAGTGGGGTGTCATTGTCTTTGATTTTGGGGGTGGTGCTCTTCGAAATAGACGGTCACAAGTCACCGGATACACTTTTCTCTCTTCAGTGTGTTCGTTATTTCGTGTGGTTTATAATGTGATTGCAATTTTATTTTAATGCTTGATTTGATGGGTTTTCTTAAATAAAATCGTAGTGTTTGGGGCTAGTATGATGGTGATGTTTCTCATCACTCTATGATTCTATTTACGTAAATGAAATGACTAACCAAACTAGCACCTTCTTGACAATACTATTAAAAGAAATTAATGTGCTCATTTTAAAGTAAAATTACATAGCGTGTTATAGTATTTAAGTATTATTAAACATGATAATAAATTCCATTTTAACATTCATTCCTATTCATTCATTTGAAGTTAATATTCCTCTCCCCTCTAGATAAGATTAAGATTAGATTTAAAATTCGTAAAAGAAAATATTTATTTTTTATTTTAATTTTGTTTTTCAATATTTTTACCCCTCAATCTCTATACTTTAATTAGATTCTAATTCCTTTTTTTTTATAACGTAGGACCTCCCAAGGCTAGGCTAAAGAACCCGACCCTACAAGGCAACCTCTGGAAGGGCTCAAAGAACCCACCACTCTGTCCTCCCGCTTTTTTTCTAGGATTCCCAGCTAGCGCGGTTCAAACCTAGGACATGAGAACAGCTCATAATCCCAAGAGCGCTTGATTTGCCAATTGAGTCACGCCTGCTGTGGTTAGATTCTAATTCTTATTAGACGAAAAAGTTGATTTTTTACAATATAAGATAATTACAAGTAGGGACGTATGTATTAAATTTCTTAAGACTATAAGTGCATCATCATTATTTCAGAAAAAAATTTAGTGTATTAAGGGACAAAAAAAATTTATATACCCATTTTCTTTATAAAAGAAGGGTATATTAAACATGAAATTTTTAAATTTATCACAAATTATTGACAATATATATTCAAAATCGTTTTTAGCTATCGACGAGACGCATGCACCTTGAAGATGTAGTAGTTATTAGAACTTATGTCATGTATGGAGAAAACTATTTCATTTTACTATTAAAGATGTGATATGATAATTTACCATTACTTTATTAAAAATCATTAAAATTTAAAAAATCCTTTTTCTTCGAAATATATTCACACCAATGTTGAAATATATGTGCCTTATAACATGTAGAGTTAATTACTTCATATGTCCTTGAATTATGACTTTAATTTTAAATTGATCTTCAAATTATTGAATATTTTAATTTTATTCCTAAATTATAACCTTCATTTTATATTAATCATTGTACTTTTGAAACTTTCAATTTTATTTCTAAACTATGACTCTCATTCTAAATTGATACTCAAACTTTTGAGCCTTTCAATTTCATCCTCAGATTCATCTAAATATATAATTAGTTTCAACCATAATTTAACTTAAATTTTATTTTATTGTCAAACATATAATACTATAGCTTGGTTTAACGGTCTTATAAACATGGAATGTGATAGTGTATACTGATAGTTTGTGATAAAATTGAAACATTCAAAAGTTTAGGTACCAATTTAAAATGAGGGCTATAATTTAGGGATGCAATCAGAACATTAAAAAGTATGATAACTAATATATAATGAGGGTCATATTGTAAGAATGGAATTAAAATGTTCAAAAAGTTATGTACTAATTTGTTTTTATTAAAAAAAATCTGTTTAATTACCATTAAAATTATCGTGTTGTGTCGGCCTGTGGCTATTATAATAAAAGGTAAAATAACTTTTTAGCCCTTAATATTTGTTAATTTTGCCAAATGAACCTTACTCTTTAAAGGTAGATTAAACATTGGTGTAAATGGTCGAATATGTGTTATTGAAAGTAGATGGTGGACTTGAGTTTCGAGACATGGAAAAATTCAACATTGCTTTACTTGCAAAGCAGTGGTAGAGACTTATTCAAGATCCCTATTCTCTAGTTGCAAGTTGGGAAATAATCGAGTACGAGTAATTTCCCTATAATCAGATTTGTGAGAATGCGAAATAAAAGCCAAAAAATAATACCCGAAATTGATAACGGAGTTCAGCCAATTATGCCTACGTCTCCGGACTACTGCAGATCTTTTACTAAAGAGAGAAAATTTACAGGTGTTTACAAAACACTCACTACTCACAAGAAAACTCTCTAGTATTGAGAGAAAGAAATGATTTGGGATGATTTTAAAGCTAAATTAGTTAGGGTATTTATAGTTGAAGCTTAGAGACTAATCTTGTAAATACCCTAAAAATGCAATGACTAAAGTTGTAATATTCCCATTTCTATTTAAAAAAACAGCACCGAATTCGGTGCATTAAATCACCGAAATCTTAGCCAAAATTGTTGAAAAATTTTGGCCTACTTGTGCCACCTTCCATGCTTGACTTTTCAACAATCTCTTACTTGAAGACTGATTTTAATCTGTCTTCACACATCGATCGATGTAGTAGTATTTGTGGTCTTGTTACTCTAGCATGCCAACTGAAGTTGAACACAACTTTAGTTTGTCCGTAGTTACCGTCTTTGTTAACATGTCTGTCGGATTTTGAGCTCCACTAACCTTTTCAAGTTTCAAAATTCCATATTCCAGAAGAGACCGGATAAAATGATATCTCAATTGTATGTGCTTCGTCTTGGAATGAAAAGACGGATTCTTCGCTAGATGGATATCACTTTGACTGTCGCAATACAAGACATTGTTTTCTTGTTTCTTGCCTAACTCTTCCAAGAAACTTTTGAGTTAAACCATCTCCTTGCTGGTTTCTGTAACAATGACATATTCTGCTTCAGTTGTGGAGAGAGCAACTATCTTCTGTAGTTGAGAAACCCAACTCACTGCAGTACCTCCTAGAGTATAGACATACCCTGTAGTGCTCCTTCTGATGTCAATATTTCCGGCTAAGTCAACATCTACATAGCCTGTCAGTATCGTATCTCCACCTTTGAAACAAAGTACTTTGTTTGTAGTACCCTACAAATATCTGAGGATCCATTTGACTGCTTCCCAATGTACCTTGCCTGGATTATTCATGTACCTGCTAACACCTCCCACTGCATGAGCAATATATGATCTAGTATAAACCATGACATACATTAGACTTCCAATTGTTGAGGCATACAACACATTCACCATATGTGCACGTTATTCCCCCCGTCTTTGGTGACTGTTCTTTGGAGAGTCTAAAATGAACACCTAAAGGTGTACTTACTGGTTTAGCATCTTGCATGTTGAACCTGGAGAGTACTTTGTTGATGTACTCAGCCTGTGATAACATCAAAGTCCCTGAATTTGTGTCTCTCTTAATCCTCATCTCAATAATCTGCTTTAGAGCGCCCATATCCTTCATAGAAAACTGCTTCGACAATTTTTGCTTCAAGTTTATAATCTCTTGTATGTCTGAGTCTGCAACGAGCATGTCATCAACGTACAATAATAAAATAATGAAGTTATTGTCGAACCTCTTGATGTAGCAAAAATGATATGCTTGGCATATGGTAAAACACTGCTACTCATGAAGCTATCGAATTTCTTGTACCACTGTCTAGGAGCTTGTTTTAAACCATACAAGCTCTTCTTCAACCTGCATACCAAGTTTTTCTTGTCTGTCTCTATGAAGCCTTCTGGCTGCCTCATATAGATTTCTTCCTCCAAATCACCATGAAGGAAAGCTGTCTTTACATCTAACTGCTCAAGATGTAGATTTTTTGTAGCTACAATTTTCAACACCAGTCTAATTGTAGACAGTTTCACGACTAGAGAGAAAATTTCATTGTAGTCAATACCTTCTTTTTGCTGAAAACCTTTAACAACCAATCTCGCTTTGTAGCGTTTGCTCCCATCGTGCTCTTCTTTGATCCTGTAAATATACTTGTTGTGGAGAGCTTTCTTGCCTGGTGGTAATTCAGCTAATTCTCATGTTTGATTTGACATAAGCGAGTCCATCTCATCTTTCATGGAAGACTCTCACTTGACTGAATCCTCCACCTGCATTGCTTCATCATAGCACTCTGGCTCACCATTGTTAGTCAGCAACAAGTAGTGCAAAGAAGGCGAATAACGCTGGGTTGGTTTAGGAATTCTAGAGGAGCATCTCAGTTCTGGTGTGCGTGGTTCTTCTTGAACTACTTCAGGATTGATCTGAACATTATTTCTAGAAATCTCCTCAAACTCAGCAAATTCCTTTGTTTCAGATTTGGTATTGGAACTACTTGATTCTATGGTTGCACTGTCTTTGTACATCACATTCTCATTGAAAATGACATCTCTGCTTCTGATGATCTTCCGATTTTCATAGTCCCAAAATCGGTAACCGAATTCATCACCGCCATAACCAACAAAGGCATATTTGTTGGACTTAGCATCAAGTTCACTTCTTTCAGCAGAGTCTATGTGTACATAAGAAATACAAACAAACACTCTTGATCCCACGGTTGATCAGGTAAGTTGAAGTGTTGATAGCTTCAGCCCATAGAAATTTGGGCAATCCGACATGTATCCTCATGCTTATGGCACGTTCATTCAGAGTTTTGTTCATGCGCTCTGCTATGCCATTTTGCTGCGGTGTCATGGGAACTGTTGTCTCCATCTTGATCACATTGTTTGCGCAGAAATCTCTGAATCTACTATTTATGTACTCTCCTCCATTGTCAGACCTCAACTGCTTGACTTTCAAACCAGTCTCATTTTCCACCATGGGCTTCCATTTTCTGAAGATATCAAAGACTTCTGATTTCTTCTTCAGAAAATAAACCCACACCTTCCTTGTTAAATCATCTATGAAGGTGACATAATATAATGAGCCTGTAAGAGATGGAACTGAAGATGATCCCTATACATCAGTATGGACCAACTTTAACTTTTTTTGCCTTGGGTGTCTTGCCAATCTTTGCAAAACTGACTTTCTTTTGTTTGCCAAAGATGCAATCTTCACATAGTCCGACATCTACATTCTTTAGATCCGACAGCTTCTCTTTTGACAAAAGTGTCTTCATCCCTTTCTCGCTCATATGGCCAAGCCTTTGTTGCCATAGGTTTGATTTTCCATCAGCATCTGCTGTAACAATGATATTCTCTAAATTTGAGGTTACATAGAGAGTATCAGTCTTCTTACCACAAGCAATGACGAGTACTCCTTTGGTAATCTTCCATTCACAGCCTGAAAAGGTTGTACTATATCCTTCTCCATCAAGTTGTCCTACAAAAATCAAATTTCTTTTGAGGCCAAAAATATGTCTCACTCCTTTCAGCTTCCAGGTGGTCTGGTTTGGAAACTTTAATCGCATGTCTCATTTTCCAACGATCTTCAAGGTTTCATCATTAGCTAGATGAACCTTCCCAAAATCACCACTAACATAGTTCTCCATGATTTCTCGGCATGGGGTGGAGTGGAAAGATGCCACTGAATCCAATATCCATGATTCAATCAGACTGTTGACGCTTAGAATCATGACATCGCCTGTCTCCTCTGTCACGTTGACAGATTCCTGTGCGCCGGTATTTTTCTTCGGTGTTTGACAATCTCTTTTAAAGTGACATTTCTTGCCGCAGTTATAACAGGTAAAATCTTTCTTTCCCGTTCTTGATTTTCCCGTTCTGGATTTAGATCTGCCACGATTTAAATTTCTTTCTGAAGTTCTCCCTCTGGACTTCGTGTGCAAGGCTGAGGAGGTTAATGCTTCACCCGATTCTCTCCGTCGAATTTCTTCGCTCAGTACTAAATCCTGGACATCGTCGAATTTCAATTTACTATTTCCGGACGAGCTGCTAACTACTGTAACAG